CTCGGTGGGAGAGGGCCCCGACTTGTGAAAAAAAAAAAAAAAAAAAACACAGTACCCAAAACCTGTAAACCCCACATTGTAACCCTTATAGAGAATAAACTTGAATTGAATTGAATACAGGGATAACTATGGAAATATGTCACCCTGACTTTTTTGGTTATCCTGGGATTTTATACAAATGCTGCTATGTATGATAATCTATGTAATTGTATTTCTGTATACCTGAATAAACTTACTCAAGTGCTTTAGGCATCATAATAAGTTTATTTAGGTATACACAAAAAAGTTACATAGAATATCATACTTAGCAGCACCCTCAACTACCTAAAGTCATTCCTCAGCAACAGAAGCCAATATGTGTACACAAATGGGGCAAACTCTTCGACGGCCAGTTACAGCTGGTTCCCACAGGGAAGTGTCCTAGGCCCTCTTCTCTTTCTCATATACATAAATGACCTACCAAATGTATCGCAACTACTAAAAACCCACACTATTTGAAGAGGGACACTACATACGTCTACTCCCACCCGAGCCCAGTCTTTGCTAGCCAATACTGTAAATACCGAATTACAGAAAATATCAACCTGGATGGGGACCAACAAACTTACTCTAAACATTGACAAAACCTACTACATTTAGTTTGGTAACAGAGCTGCAGATGTTGTCTCTTAACATAATGATAAAGGGGATTCACCTATCACAAAACTCACGAGGGAAAATTCCTAGGAATCCACCTTGATAATAGACTCAAATTTTAAACACATATACAACAAATTTCCAAAAAAACTCCAAGACCGTAGGCATACTGTCGAAGATACGGTACTAAAGTTCCACAGTCAGCCCTCCTGGCCCTATATCACTCATTTATTTACCCCTATCTCACCTATGGAATTTTTTGCATGGGGTCAACAACAATAAAACCCTTCTCAGACACTAATCATCCAACAAAAGGCTGTAGTCAGAATGATGATAAATTCCCACTACAGACAGCACACTCCACCAATATTCAAAACTCTAAACCCACTCACAATACAAAACATACATACTTATACTGCACCTACTACATACATAGAACACTTAACTCTGATATAAAACCCTCCCCTCAAACATCTCCTTAAGGAACCAACCTCAACAGAACACATGACCGTAACACAAGACACAGATCACTCTTTGATGTTCCTCGTGTCCATCGCAACGCTATGCAAAAACTCAATGCACATAAAAGGCCCTAAAATCTGGAATTCATTACCTGTGAATATAAAAGAAACACTGTCTGTTTATAAATTCAAGTCTTTTCTCAAAAATCACTTACTCACCCACAACTAAATAAATACTGAATAATTGTATCTCATATATGTATCTCATTATTGCATCTCATAAATGTCAACCTGTCACCCAATCAAACTTTGTTACTATTTAACTTCATTACCCAACAGAATACTCCATTCTAGTGATTACACAGCAACACAGTAAATGACCATATGACCTGTCTTTGTAATACTCATTTGTACTAAATTGTTATCTGTATTACAATAATTTTTGTACCACTGAATATATCATTGCTTAGTTAATCTTAAGTTAATTTAAGCCTGCCCGTAATGCTATGCATTCAAGTGGCTTTGGCATGCTGCATTTTACTGTATTCTTTTGTACTTCACTGTTCATGTTCAAATTAATATGTTTGGGGGGAACCTAGGATAACCCAAAAAAGTCAGACAGACTTATTTCCATTAGGGTCCCTGTACCCTGTACCATATGGTATAATGTACCATATGGTACAATGTACTATATGGCACATTGTACCATATGGTACCATTGTACCATATGGTACCATTGTGCCATATACCATTGTACCATATGATACCATTGTATGACATGGCACTATTGTACCATATGGTACCATTGTATCATATGGCACAATGGTACCATATGGTTCAAAACCATAGAATTCGTCTTCAGCTCCACTTCCATCAGTCTTAGAACTGTAAGTTGTGAAGAGGAGAGTCAGAATTCGCCGGAGAGTGAGTGGGGAGTGAGAGCTTCCTTGCCGCCAGGCATGATGAACAAAGCTACTTTGCCGGCGTTCCCACAATGCCATGTGGGCGTCCAGATTTTTTTCTATAGTGTGCACACTGACCACTCAGACCCATTCTCTCAGATGTAGGCCTACCAGCCTTCTCATGCTAAATTTGATGCCGCTAGAATTTTGGCGTAGATCTACGGTTTGGACCCTGAACGTAAAGCTGTAGATCTATGGGACAGACCCTGAAAGGGTTAAAACAGCGACTGTGGTGCATTTCCCTATGGTTTTTACAGCTTTATTTCTGGTTTCTTGGTCTCATTTGATAAAATGGAAGATATATTACAGAAATAGAGATGATTTTGATTTGTTTTAGTTCCGAAAATAGCTTGAAATTGTGCTCAAATTAGCAGAAATGTTTGATTTTTGCCAATGTTCAAGAGTAAAGAAATCACATTATGCGTCCAATACACATCAGGTGGTGGGGTCTGATGCTTCGCTTCTTATGACCAGAGTCTTTGGTAAGATGGGTAAGGAAGAAGGATGGGTAAGGATAGAAATATTGGAAAAGGGTGGGAGGGGGGAGAGAGGTAGGATATAAAAGAGAAGTGGCCCAACCACTTTGGTGCAATTTAAAAAGTGTATGTGTAATATTAGAAAATTCTTGAAGGGGTATAATACTAACCCATCAGAGTCACATAGATATAACAGATATATAGGTACATGACTCTGAACTGGTAGTAGATATCCAAGTTGCAATTGCTTTTTTTTTGGGGGGGGGGTCTGATGTGCATTCATGAAAGCACTGATATTATTTATACAGTTATTATAGTATTGCATAACAGGAAATCTTCTATTTTTTGATGTGAATAAAAATTCTTTAGGTGAATAAAAAATCAAAATGGAATTCATCTGTATAGCCTGGAAACATAACTAATAAATGGAGGAAATGTTATTTTAGTACCAGGAATGCCTGCATTGTTTATTCTGGACCTTATTTTGAAATTGGAATATTTTGAACTTTGTGTGAAATTGGCCAATTTACCAATTTCTGATTACGTTATTGGGTAGTTGAAATAGTTGATTGGTCCATTTCTTGTGCTCAATAGATAAAATGGAATATATGCTAGCAAAATAGCTAAGAATTTGGTCTAATGGAACAAAGTAAATTAGCCAAAAATAGGACTCAAATTGGACAAAATCGCCATTGCGTAAATATCGCTGACACAGCAAAATTCGTGAGAGAATTATTTTGTCAATTTGATCAGATTTCATACTTTTTTTTTTTTAAACCTTCAGAAATAGATTCTCTACCATTTCATAAGAAAAAAAATTTTTTTTTTTTTTTAAATTATATGACCCTTTGGGAATTTTCGATTGGGGGTCTGGACCCTCAAGGGTTAAAAAGTAGATAATTTCATGGATACAAGATCAGCTTAGGGTGATGCATCCAGCAGAGCTTTTTTTTTTAAAACTTTGTAAATTTCCTACCTTAGGCAGTTTCTTTATCGGTGGAATATTTATTTGAGAATTGGTTTATTTAATTCATGTTTAGCACAAAACCCCATGTGGGTCATTCAGTGCAAGACAGGGTGGAGGCTTGATTCTCCATCTACTGAGAGCGAGACAATAAGTTTGAACTTGATGTGGTTCACCGGTAGTGTTTGGACCCGGGTTTCATCCAGTTGGTGACCTGGTGTTGGCCCCCGGGGTGGGGGGGAAGCCTTTCCCGCTACTTCTTCTGTCTTGTGCAGAAATCTTTCAGTGGAGGCGAGAGGGATGCGCTTCCTATTTGTACTCACCTGCATTTGAGAATTTATTGGTAAAGATACTTTTTTTTTTTTTACACACCGCCGTCTCCCATCGAGGTAAGGTGGTTTTATTATTTATTTGGAATCATAGAATTTTTTAATGATATTATTCAAGAAGACATTGTTCTTGAAACTCATATTGAGATTGCATCATATTCACTCTCAAAATATTTTTATTTTATTACTTTTTATTAAAAACTTTGATAAATTAAAGTAATGCATTTTTAATTGTGTGCACTCATCTGAAACATTTTTATTCAAATTTTCCCGTAGAATACGCAAGTGTTGCCATATCAAAATAATGGAATTTTTTTACTTTTATTTTTTTTTATTTTCAGACTTACCACCAAGAAAGTTCTTCACCCCAATTACCTATATAGACACACTTTTCAGTAAAAAAAAAAGAAATATAAAAAATCAAATGGTAAGAAAGCATTAGAGGAGGGAATAGCTCCTTAACCCTATGAGGTCTAGTTACCTAATATTAAATTACTGGTTTTGTAATAACAAAAATGAAAAGAGATGAAGTAAAAATATTCATAAAGCATTAAAAAATTATTTTCTTGAGTAACTTTGGGTAAACAAATCACCATTAATTCTAAAGGGATGGACAGGTTCATACTGGGTAGTGGAAAAAATTTTTAAAGAAAAAACTGTGATAGCATTGTAGGTACAGTATGTTGTTTTAGTACCCTGGTGGTACACTGGACCCTGGTGGGTAACACTGGTACCACTGGTGGGGGTAACACTGGTCCCCAGGTGGGTAACACTGGTGCCGGCGGGATAACACGGGTACCAGAAAATATACTTGTGAAATGTCAATTTGTTGTTGTGATCTTTGTTGTTACTGTGCTAAATAAAAAAAATAAAATATATACAGGCTGAGGGCCATTATAAATATAGTGCAGTTTTACTGTACAAGTTGCACAGTAAATATTAATGCTGAGTGTGATAGGTAAGAAATACATGGAGCTCTTAGGGTATACCTGGAGGGTGGTCCAGGGGTCAGCGCCTCCACGTTCATGACTCTGGTCATGAACGCCCCAGTCCATGACCCGGGTGTTCATTGTTTTAACTGCCTGCAAGACAGCATGACAAGATTGTGTTTTGAGACTTAATGTTGAGTTTGAAAGAGAAATATCAGTTTGACACTAAAAGTTTGTTGGCAGTTTATCGTTGATCGGCTGGGCAGCGTCATCCAGGGACAGCAAGATACACACGATCGAACAGTGATATTTACTGATGCCTTTGTGGCAAGAAACAAAGCTCATGTGAGAGGTGTCTTGTGTGCCATCACACGACCTACACAAGTAGCTTCCATTATTATGCAACATGGCTTCCAGCAGACACTATTCTTCAGTAAGTAGTTATGAATGTAATTTTGTTATATAAATCAAAGGAAGCTTTAGGATTTCCAGAATTATTTTAATTTGCCAGTTAAAACAAATGTAGTATTTTATATTTCCAATACTTTTATAATACAGTGGACCCTTGGTTTTCATGATTAATCCGTTTGAAAAAGTCTGACGAAAACCAAATTGTACGAAAATTGAAGCAATATTTCCCATAAGAAATACAGTGGACCCCCGGTTTTCGGCTGGTGTGGAAATCATACAATTCAGATTTTGAGCACTTTTTTGGTGAAATTTCCCCTGGGTTTTGTACATCCGCTTGGAAATCGTTGGTACCAGACGCGTGCACCTGGGCCGCTCATTCGTTTGTGACTTATTCTTGGGCACATTAAATGTCTTAGTTTAGGTTAATATAGACATTTTCATTAATCCATCTATGATATTTTCTTCAGAGTTATACTATAAGAAACACATTACATAGCATCTAAACATGCCTTTGTTACTCGTTCACTAAGAGTGTCCCTCTAGTCTTAACGCCATAGTAATACCGATAGTACATAATAATAATCACTCATGGGCACATTAAATGACTTATTTTATGTTAATATAGACATTTTCATTAATCATAGGAACATAAGAAAGAAGGAACACTGCAGCAGACCTACTGACCCATGCGAAGCAGGTCCATGTTACCCTCCGGTTTAGCCAATGGCCCACCTAGTCAGGCCACTCTCACTTAAGGAAGGTGCATGGCATCAGACCTAATAGCACAAGCTAGTCAGGTCCAACTCTCACCCACCCACACCCACTCATGTATTTATCTAACCTATATTGGCAGTTTGGAGGGATATGTTGTGTATCTTTATACGTATATGCTTCTAAACTGTTGTATTCTGAACACCTCTGAAAAAACAGTGATAATATGTGAGTGTGGTGAAAGTGTTGAATGATGATGAAAGCATTTTCTTTTTGGGGATTTTCTTTCTTTTTTGGGTCACCCTGCCTCGGTGGGAGACGGCCGACTTGTTGAAAAAAAAAAAAAAAAAAGTTTAAATCTACACAACTGTACTCGGGAGTTTGTTCCACTCATCCACAACTCTATTACCAAACCACTGCTTTCCACTATCTTTCCTGAATCTGAATTTTTTCAACTTTAAACCATTGCTGTGAGTCCTGTCGTCGCTGGAAGTTTTCAGCACGCTATTTATATCCCCTTTATTTATTCCTGTTTTCCATTTATACACCTCGATCATATCCCCCATAATTCTACACCTTTCGAGAGAGTGCAGATTCAGGGCCCTCAGTCTATCGTCATAGGGAAGATTTCTGATATATAGGATCACCTTTGTCATTCTCTTCTGTATGTTTTCCAGTGCATTTATATCCATTCTGTAATACGGTGACCAGAACTGCAACATAATCTAAATGAGGCCTAACCAAGGATATATAGAGTTGAAGAACAACCTGAGGACTTCTATTATTTATACTTCTAGATATGAAGCCAGGGATTCTGTTAGCCTTATTGCGAACACAAATGCACTGTTGTCTTGGTTTTAGATTACTGCTAACCAGAACTCCTAAATCCTTTTTGCAGTCAGTAGTATTAAGATCTACATTATTTAGTTTATATGTGGCATGGTTATTTTCCTATCCAAAATTTAGAATTTTGCATTTCTGTATTAAACTGCATCTGCCACTTCTCCGACCATTGCATCAGTCTATTTAAATCATCCTGGAGTGCTCTAGCATCCTCATTAGAATGAATTTGACGGCCTATTTTGGTGTCATCAGCAGATTTGCTTATGTCGCTATTTATTCCCACATCTATGTCGTTTATGTAAATTGTGAACAACAAGGGGCCCAACACTGACCCCTGAGGAACACCACTTGTGACGTGCCCCCATTCTGATTTCTCTCCATTTATGCAAACTCTCTGCTGACTATTTGTCAACCATGCCTCTAAACCCCGGAAAAAATTTCTCCTCCTATTCCGTGTGCCTTAACCCTTTGACTGTCGCAAGCCCATTTCTGAAACTGTCATTCTATGTCAAAAAATTTTCGAAAAAAAAAAAAATTATTTTTTCTTGCCAAAATGTTAGGATTATTTTACTGAGTGTTTTAATCCTTAAAAATTGTTTTTGCCATCAGTACTTACAGAGATATAGAGGTGCAAATTTGGCAGAAAATGAGTCGCATATGGCAACAGCGGCGAATGCTGCTCACCTGGTATTCTTTTATTTACTCCAATTTGAAGGTTTCTTGTATTTTTCAATATTTTTCTTTTCTAAGTAACTTATGTGGTCTTCGAGACCAAAGTAAGGTGCATTGTTCAAATATATGCTCATTGTTTACAACACAATAACTGCACAAACATTATCATTATTATATTGTTTACAAAACTTGTTTACACAAACCAACAATACAAAACATTGTTTATTACTTTTGTTCTATAATATATATACATATGTACAGTTGCTGAACACTTTCCTAGAACTGCTGCAGCTTGTGGAAGTCTTTGAAAGATGGGTATATGCAGAGTGGTACTTTACACTCCTCACACATAAAACGAGTGTCTCTGCGTTTTTGTGGGCGTTTTGTGGTATGTGGACAGAAAAAACACCTCTTGTGAGCACTTTTCTTGAAAGCAGTAGCAGGCAGTGGTATGGGGTAGTGATCACCAGGCCTCAGACGAGATGGCGTGTGTTGGTAATTTTGTGGACGCTGGTCTATTGCAGGTGTTGTTCCTTGGTACTTGAATATTATTTTTCTGATGACTGACAAACAAAATTCACCATATTTTGTTGGTCTTGTATATGTTATAAGCATTCAGCATGGAAATATCAAGTAGATGGAAAATAAGTTTTATGTATCACTTATAACTTGCGAACACAATCAGCAAACCCAGTCTGCATGTCACATTTATCCACTAAGCGCATATTGAGGTTGTAGTCCATCACAGCTGCAGGTTTTAGAATGGGTTCATTGGTCTCTCTATTCTGCTTGCCACTGTCTGCCATTTCATTTTGATGAACTGATGTCAACAATGTGACATCACATTTGTCATGTCACTGAAATACCATGATGTCATTGGCAGCAAAGGCCTGCACCTCACCTCTGTGAGTGCCTGCGTTGAACTGGGCATATGCTTAGGATTACCATGCACTGTGCCACACACTTCTGTCATGTTCACTCGCAAGAAATCACTGAGTATGGGGCTTGTGTACCAGTTATCAGTACATATATAATATATGCCCCTTACCAAGATATGAGTCCATCATTGTTCCAACCACATCACCAGAGATACCCAATAACTTCCTGGTATCTCTCAATGAATTACTGCCAGTGTACACAATTATATCCAAAAGCAGACCACTTTTGCAATCACACAGTACAAATAATTTTATACCAAAGCATTTCCTCTTGCTTGGTATATACTGCTTGAATGACAGTCTACCTTTGAACAAAATCAGAGACTCACCAATAACAAGTTTCCCTGAAGGGATAAAAATACATACATCACTTTTGTTTCAGATACATGAACACATTCCTGGTCTTATATAACCTGTTGGTTCTGTCAGGCTTGGTTTTGTCTGAGAAGTGTAGCATACGTAACAGTATCAAAAAACGATTCACTGGTATTATATCACTAAAACCTGTGGTTGAAATCAGGCATTCCATCGACCAGTATGTGGTGACAGTATGCTTATACACATGTGGCATAAGCATTATTGTGGCAAAGAACCGGTACACCTCTGCCACAGTTGTGTCCTTCCACTTTTGTAGCATGACCTTGGTGAAAGAATTGTATTTGCCATGGTGTACTCATAGTATGTGTTGCTTTCCCTGACAATAATTTCCATCAGGGGTTCATCGAAGAAGAGCTAAAAGCATTCCATTTTCAGTAGCATTGTTCCCAAGTGTACACAAATGGCTGTATTCCACTTCGTGTTTCATCAAAATCATGGGGATTGGGAACAAAATTGGCAACTTGCTGCCAATCCCAGATGCGGTCTGCTGGTGGGTTCTGGATATTGAAAGGTGGTTATGCAGGTTGTGGTTGTAGATGTTGTGGGAGTGTGGGGGTGGTTGAGGGTGGTTGTGGCTGTGCTGATTTAGCAGTGTGGGTAGTAGCGTGGCCCGCTGTTGGTGCCACATGTCTCATGCCACTGCCAACACCACCACCACCATCACCTGCTGCCCCATGCACATTACACATCCCCATTGTAACAATATCGTCATCTTCACTCTCAGGTTGTGGTGTAGGGCCATGGGATGTACTCCGAGATTTACTCTTTTGCCTTGGAAGGGCATATGGCACACTACCAGAACGCATACTGCGTTGTACATACTGCCATTTCACTGGCGAACATTTCCCCTCACTGTCGCAACTCGAGCTGCTTTCAATAACTTGGAAATCACTATCATTATCACTTTCACTGCTCAGATCCGAGTCCTGTAGACTGGGAAATAATTTCCTTTTTCGTCCTGGTACAGGTGAACGTGAATGAGATGGTCCAGCACCAGAGGTGGAAGGTTGAGTGTCATCTGGTTTTCATCACTAATTATGTTTATCCTGGGCACTGCTTTCGGTCACACCCTCTTCGAAACCATGGAACTCACTTTCATTGGCACTTCCATTGGTGTTAGAACTATCACTTGGGAACAGAAGACCTCCAATTCGGTGAGGAGTGAGGTACTTCTTACCGCGAGGCATGGTGAACAAGGACTACCAAGATGGCGTTCCCACAATGCACCACTGAGTCCCCGATTTTTTTCACAGGGTGCACACCCACCATGCAGACCCCTTCTCTCACATGTAGGCCTACCAGCTTTCTCCCGCTTGATTTGAAGCCGCTAGAATTGACGTGTATTAATACGTCAGAAACTTTGGTTCGTAAGACATATACAGTAGGGCCCCACTTATACGGCAGGTTAGGTTCCAGGCTACCGCTGTAAAGTGGAAATCGCCGTAAAGTGGAAAACCCTTTTTTTCCACTTATAAATGCATACAAATACTAGATAACAAGTTTACACTAACATATATTAAGTTAGTAGTAGAACTAGGCATCAAAAAACAATAAAAAAGTACAATACACACATAGTGCACTCATTACTTAACTTAAAATATTTATAGTCTTAATCTAGGGTAAGACAAGTAGTATTTATTGTAAGAAATCAAATGTGGTATGTATGGTAGTCAGCCGGGCTACCATACCAGGCCACAATATTCTATTACATTTAACCCCTTCAGGGTCCAAGGCCAAAATCTGAAGTGGTGCTCCAGTGTCCAAGAAATTTTGAAAAAAAAAAAAAAAATTTTTCTTAGAGAATTAAAGAGTATATTTTTGTGAAGGTAATAAGACAAAAAACAAAAATTTCTGATCAGTACTTACCGAGATACAGCGGTGGGAAGTTGACCCAAAATGAGCGGGTGGCAGCAACATCAGTGACTTCTGCAAAATCCCATTTTTTTATTTTACGTTTTTTATACTTTTTTCTTTTCTTTTCTAATTTTTTCTTTTTCTAATAACATTTGTGGGCTGTGAGACCAATATAATGTATATTGTATAAGTGTACACTCATTGTATTCAACACAATAACTGCACTAATGTGTTTATCATTATATTGCTTACAAAACTTGTTTACAAGTTTATTGTAAACAAAATGATGAAAATATTAGTGGGGTTATTGTGTTGAATACAACGGTACCATATGGTACAATGGTGCCATAGGGTGCAATTGTACCATATGGTACAATTTATTTATTTATTTATTTATTTATTTATTTAAAAATTTGAGCACACATACAGAGGTACAAAAAATACAGATAAGAGCAGCATGCCAAAGCCACTTATACTATGCATAGCATTACGGGCTGGCTTAAAATTAACTTAAGATTAACTAAGCAATGATGAAATCAGTGATAAAACATTAATGTAAACAGATAACTATAAAGCACAAGTGAGTATTACAAAGACAGGTCATGTGGTTGTATGCATTGTTGTACATTCAGTAGAATGGAGTATTCTGTTAGGTAGTGTATTTAAAAAATAATAAAGTTAGATTGGGTTTTAGGTTTAACATTTATGTGATATAATTGTGAGAAACATTTAAGATATACAATTTTATAAGGTTTAGTTATTCAGTTTTATTTGGGTTTTGGGTGAGTAAGTGATCTTGGGAAGAGCTTGAATTTAAAAAAGGGTAGTGTTTCTTTTATATTTAAGGTAATGAATTCCGATTTTAGGGCCTTTATGGCATTGAGTTTTTACTTAGTGTGAGTGGGACAACGGGAATAATCAAAGAGTGATTGTCCCTTGTGTTATGGTCAATGTGTTCTGTTGGGTTGGCAAGGAGAAGTTTGGGGGGAGGGTTAATACGAGTTAAGTGTTCTAGGGTATGTAAAGGTGCAGTGGTAAGTAGGGGATGTTTTGTATGGTGAGGAGGTTTAGGTTTTGGGATATTGGTGGAGTGTGCTGCCCTATAGTGAGAATTTGTTTCATTCTAACTGCAGCCTTTTGTTGGGTAATTAGTGGTCTGAGATGGTTACTTGTTGTTGAGCCCATGCACAAATTTCCCATGGGTGAGATAGGGGTAAATAAGAGAGTGTTTATAGGGCCAGGAGGGCTGACTGGGAGCATAGTCCGTATCTTCGTTAGTATGCCTACAGTCTTGGAAATTTTCTTAGAAATTTGTTGTTAATGTGTATGAAATTTGAGTCTATTATCAAGGGGATTCCTAAGAATTTTCCCTCTGTTAGCTTTGTGATAGGTGACCCGTTTATCATTATGTTAAGAGGGACACCCTGTAGCTCTGTTACCAAACTGAATGAAGTAGGTTTTGTCAATGTTTAGTGTAAGTTGTTAGTTCTCATCCGGGTTTGATATTTTCTGAAATTCGGTATTTACAGTATTGGCTAGCGTGATTGGGCTCGGGTGGGAAAAGGGACGTATGTAGTGTCATCTGCAAATAGTGGGGGTTTGAGTAATTGCGAGCATTTGGTAGGTCATTTATGTATGGGAGAAAGAGAAGAGGGCCAAGGACATTTCCCCTGTGGGACACCAACTGAAATTTGGGTTTTGTGCAGAGGAGTTTGCCCCATTTGCATACACTATTGGCTTCTGTTGCTGAGGTATGACTTGAGGTAGTTGAGGGAGTGTCCTCTTATACCATAGTGTGACAATTTTACGTGGAGCAAGTCATGGTCAACTGTATCAAAAGCTTTACATAAGTCAAATGAAGATCCCCAGTGGGACTTCTTTTTTCTCTATAGCAGTGATATATGTTCTAGCATGTTTTATAATAGCATCATTAGTTTTTTATTAGGCCTGAATCCAAATTGGCAGGGGTTTGAGTATGTTTTGGGAGATAAGGTAGGAGTAGATTCTTTATGAATTAATTTTTCGAAGATTTTTGAGAGAGGGTGTAAGTTGGATATTGGCCTATAGTTATTCAACTCGTTTGTCTCCTCCTTTGTGGATCGGGGTGACCCTTGCTTTTTTGAGTACTGTAGGGAAGGTGGGGATTCAATGGATTTGTTAAAGAGTTTTTGCAATGATTGGTGATAGCACTTGTGACACTTTTTTGTATATAAAGGGTGGTAAGGTATTTAAATCTCCTGCCTTGTTTTTAGTGTGTTGATAATAAGGGAGACTTCGTATGGGTTAGTCGGAGCTGGAACAGTGTGTTCGGGTAGTTGCCGGTGGGTAGTCTTTTGGGTGGGGTATCTGAGCTTGGGATTTTATTGGCAAGGTTTTGTCCTATAGTGGAGAAGAAATCATTGAGTCTGTTTGCTGTTTCTGTTGGTGGGAGTTGGGTTCATCTGATTTTGCTAATTTTATTTCGCTATTTCGTGTTTATTTTTTTTGTTCCTAGAATTTCTGATAGGGTTTTCCGGGTCTTTTTATATCACCTCGTAAGTTGGATAATCTGTTCTCATAATACAATTTTTTTGCCCTTCTTATCAGGCTGGTTAGGATTGACGAGTAACGTTTTGTTTGGTCTCTGGTTATGTGACCCATTCTGTCTGTTTTTCATATTGGTGTTTTGTATTTATGGATTTGAGAATGCTGGGTGTTACCCAGGGACTGTTAGTCTCTTAGCTGTCATCTGTTTATTTTTTTTTTAGGGCAGTGTTTGTTATAGAGGTATTGGGTCTTTTTTAGAAAATTATTAATACATTCGTCAATTCTGTATAGATTTCTAGCTCAGTGTGCCAGTCAATGTTTGCTACTGCTGTTGTGAAGTTATTAATGGCTGCCTCATTGTGAAGTCTGAAGGTGACTTTAGTAGTGTCTTGGGTAATTTACCAAGAGTTGTTATGAGGAAAAGTCGGGTAGTGGTCTGTGGTAATTATCTGTAATTATGCCTGATTTAAAGGGGATATGGTGTTGGTCCAAGATGTGGTCAAGTAGGGAAACACTAGTCTCTGTAACTCTTGTAGGTTTTGTTACTGTTGGTAGCAACATACAGTTACTCATTGTGTTTGTGAATTCAGTAACGTGTGGGTCCTGGTCTTGCAGGAGATTTATATTGAAGTCACCTGAGAGTAGTAAGTGATCTTTGTTCATGCGTGCATCAGTTATCATAAATTCCTAGGTTTTGACTAAATTGGCTAATGTTTGACTGTGGAACTCTGTAGATGTTTATCAATGTGAGAGGTTTTTGTAGGTATTTGGATTTGAATTTGGCTATTATATATTCCCCATGTTCATCCCTTGTGCAAGTATTAGTGATACATTCTAGTTGGTCTGAGGATATATGGCTGTGCCACCCCCTTGTTGGTCTGGCCTACAGTTGTGTATGGCTGTGTAACCAGGAATGCATAGACATCTGTACTATCAGGCTTTAGCCAGGTTTCAGTTAGTGTAATGACGGACATATTGGCATGTAAGGAAATTAGTAATGCTTTGAGGTCATCGTAATGCTTGCTTAAAGATCTGATATTGTTAGTTAAAGATAGTTATGTTGTTGTTGGCACTGAGAGTGCCTTTGATTTTTCTGCAGTGTAGTAATTACAGTAACTGTTTGATTCATTTAAGTCATTAAATAAGAGATTGGTATCAGGATCAATGCTTGTAATCATAAGATTTGTAGTGAATCTATAGTTAGAATTAAGTATAAAACAAAGTAAATAGTCTTAAGCTAAAAAAATAGCACCTGAATTATTTAACAATGTAAAATAATGAGCTAAGGTTTTTTTTTTTTTTTTTTTTTTTTTTTTTTTAAGCTAAAATAAAGGAGACAATATAAAGGGACTAATACAAATATAGTGATGATCAATAATGGGGCTTGGGAATATGATAGTAGGTAGTACTATAAAGGTAATTCTTTAAAGTTAGAATTATAGTATTAAAATAAATAATATAAAAGGGACTAATATAAGTTGTGGTGAACAATAAAGTGGTAATCAAATAATGAGCTTTGGAATATAATGGCAAAATTGTGAACTTATTCTACTTTAGCACCTGAGAATAGCACCCTTTATTATTTTAACAATTGTGAAAATATAAACTAGGGTAGTTATATAAAGCTAAAATAAAGGAGAAAATAT